AAGAAATGGCGGGTAAGCATTGATAGGGAAATGCAGGGAGGAATTGCTTGAAGAAACAGTGAAGATATTGACATACATTTTCTGAATTTGCAGCAAACAAGATGTTCAAATCCATGTGGTTAGTGAAAGCTGTATTTTTTTTGCCGATTTGATGGCAAGTCCATTTCACAAGCAATAACGCGCCAAAGCTCTGCTATTTTATATTGTCTAATACTATCTATTTATTTAACCAAAAAAAAAAAACATGTATTTATTAAGAGAAGATTCTTTGTCAACCAAAAACGCAGAAAAATACGATTATAACCCACTATAGATTGCAAGTCTCCGTGCTCTCCCTTTACACGAATTTTACTTAGCTGATTGCTCGAGGCGTGACAATAATATTATGAAGGAAATCAAACCGTAACTTTAAGATTATAAAACTAAACTTTATAATGTAAAATATATCGTTATAAAAAAAAAAAAAAAGGGACTTCATCCAAATGATAATTGAATAGCATGAAAGAAATAACACTAACTCCACATAAAAGATATTTTATACCCACAAAATTTGTCTTAAAAAATTCTACTTGGAAATAAGAGCTCAAATCTACAATATTTGAACTTTGTTGTTGATTTTACGTTCTTAAGTTCTATTTCTATATGTTCTGCATCAACAGTGGATTCTGGCTTTTATTAATAATTCCACGTTAGTAATTATTTAAAATGAATTTTTTTTAATGTCTAATAGGTTTTGGGAAGCATGATGCGTTTAAGAAATACTACAGATGAATTCTCAGTTCAAAAAAGTAGAATATGAGAATTACGAGAAGGAGATGACAAAATCATGGCTGTTTTAAGTTAACTTTTGATAATTTGAAATCACCATCCTTGAAACAATATATGTTTTGCATATTGCTCAATATTCTTTAAAGATTTTGAGATTGAAAAGGATAGCTCGATCCAACTCTGGATGGCTGAAGGATTGCTCCAATTTTCAAATACTTTAGAATTGGAGGATATGGGTAATGAATGTTCTATTTGGAAACTCTTTTTTTTTTTTTTTTTTTTAAGATGTTACAAAGGATATGGATATAGCATTATTACCAAATGCAAGATATGCACGATCTTATGTGCAGAACTAGTGTCACAATCCGATATAGGAGATAACCTTTCCTTTCAACACAAGGCACAAACACCTACAATCCACATGGAATTTCATCAGAAAGAAATGTTGGGAAAGTACGCTCGCTATTTACAAACGGTGAAGGGCTTACCTTCTTGTATCGAGCTTTAAGGCTTTACGGGTGTTGAATTTGTACAAGGCTAGGAATTACCAAGCTCAAATGGCGAGTTGAAACACTCGAGTAAATAAAATTCTATTAATTTAAAACGAAGAAATACTACAAAATTGTCAAAAAGGTTACAAAATTTGAAGAAAATACAACTTGACTAATTAACCTGTTATTCTATGAGTTGCAAAACATCCTATTATAAAGAAAACTAAAGCAAACTTAATCTCTAAAGGGTAAGAAATCATAAACTTAACTGACAAAAAATCTTAATCTTTGACCCACAAGAAAACCCAATAAAAAAAACAATAATATTAAAACTAATTTTCCAACAGAGGTATCTACTATCTAGACGTTTCAGAAACAAAGATCAAAGCACTCCCCAGGTCTGTTGGCAAACCTACAGACTTGAAGAATGTGTGATACACGCAACCTTAATTAAAACGTTTCGAAAACGAATTATATAATTTGATCAGCTTGAGTCATGTTTATTTTGATGAGTATATGGAAGTTCCATTTGGGATGAGACGATTGACTCATGTGTGGGAAAATTACCTTCCTTTAATCTGGATAGGCGGAGGAGTCATAGAATTCACGAGCTGTGTGGCTTAAACCAATTGAAATGTCAACTAATTATTAGGTCGTTGGAATATGTGATAGACAAAGAAATCAAATATGTACGTATGTATGTATGTATGTATATCTGGCTATAATGGTGCTAAATTAGCATTATGGGAACCTGAGGAAGTTCCAGTGCTTGGCCATTTACGATCATCTCAGACATGTTGTGTTTCAGGATATATATGCCTAAGCTTAATTGTGTGGGAGCTGAGTTTTATGGCTATAACCATGTTAACAATGAGGGCGGCTTTGGCTTCGACCGTTCCAGCATTGAAAAAACTTAAAGATTATTGATTGCCGAGCTCTAAGTAGTTGCGGAGTTTCCATGCATGCCTCGAAGAGTTGAACTGAGAAATGCTCCCACTCATGATTTTCCATCTCTGAGCCAGAAGTTGATGTTATGTTCTATCAATGACTGAAGGGCCTCACTTGTCTGCCAGTAGGGCTACTGGAAAGAAAGAAAGGAAAAAAAAAAAAAAAAAAAAAAAACAAACCCTAATCTTCGGTAACTGATCATTAGTTGTTGTGAAATGCTGAGAGATCTAGGGTTACCAGATGGGCTAGGGCTAGAAGCAGTTGCGTTTTCACGTTTGTTTGTTTGGCAATATCAAAGACATTCTAGTGTCATGGACCAGCAACTTTAGCTGCTTAATTAATTTGAGTGTTTTAACGAAACACTCTTGGTACTGTTTACTTTTAACGAAAATGATATTTGTACTCTAAAAAGTCACTCGTGATACTATTCACTTACAACATTTTTTTGTCATTTTGATTAAAACTCAAAGTTTTCAAACATTTTTCATTAGTTTTCTTTAATTTAAACACGTTGTTTTCACAATGTTTTCGGAATAACACTACGTAAGACAGATATTTTCATCTTTCACTCCTTAAATCTCACATTAATAGTTTGATTAGTAGTACAACTAATGCAACCGAAGGTCATTCTGTAAATGTTATCATTTTCCTTGCAATGGAAAACCAAGGCAAACATTAATTACAAATTATTTACGCATTTTGTGTCATGTTAACATATGGTAAATTCTTTGACCAACTTAGCAAAGGGATGTGTAATCCTCTGTCAAATTTCTTACCAACAAGACTATACCAGACTTATAATCTGAACCGTCCAACAAAATTTAATGGCTTTAAACTTTGCACGTCAGATTAATTTCATTGACTCAAATTAAAAGTCTTGTATGGTATTGTTGAGAGAAAATCATGTTCCAATCTATAAGGGATAGTTTTTTCAAAGTGCAGTATTCAAGCCAATACTCTATGTGCTATACAATAAATAAAAGAACACAATAAGTAAAAGAACACGAAACAATATATCTTATTTTTTGCACTTGTATAACATATATAAAACAACACTCGCCAATTGAAAAAGTCTCTCACAAGAATGGAAATAGTATGAGTTGCTTTAAAAAGAAATTGGCACAGAAACAGCTTTTCCTGAAAGGTAGTGTTGAAAAGGCCAAAATTTTCAATTAAAGTTTGTTAACCAAATGAAATGAACGGACCAACCAGGCCCTTATCATGACAATGAGAAGTCATACAGTTATGTTAGTTGGCCTAACTCGGAAATAAAGCCCAATCATAATAATATTCTTCTGGTTTTCTAATATTAAAGATAAAATAACGGGCAAACCGTAACGGATGTTGGTCAACAGACACAAAACAAGAAACAATGGAGAGTTGCAAAACATTTTAAAAGTTGAAAGGTGTTAGCCACTTAGTACTACGATTTAGTGGTATTCCTCTTCATTTGTAAGTGAGAGGTCTTAGGTTCAAATTTTGCTAAAGGGGAATTTGAACTATATTATTACTAGTCCATTGTGAGGCTAAGCCCACCCCTCCCCTAGTGTGGATAATATCAATTGTTCAAAATAAAAAGTGTTTATATCACAAATGGTCCATGAGATTGATCAAATTCATCATTTTGGTCATTCACTTTCAATATCAATCAATGTCGTCTCTAACATTCACTACCCCACGTTAATTTGGTACTTCTGTTAAGATTCCGTCAACTATTCAGTTAGTTTGTATGTGAGACCCACAAATCCAATGAAATGGTGACATGTGGATTACACAAAATAAGGGTATTTATTGCAAATGGTCCCTGATATTGATCCAATTCTTCGTTTTGATCATTGAGTTTCAAAAATCAATAAATTTGGTCCCTGATTTTCACTACCGTACATCAATGTAGTCCTTCCATTAAAATTTCATCACTATTTTTCGTTCGTGTGTTTATGTGGTCCCACCAATTCAATCATATGACTTCACGTGGATTAACTAGAAGAAACTATTTTCTTTTAAGAGTGAACCAACAGACTAGTATTTTGCGTTGACATTTTTCTAACATCCCACAACCCCAATTGGAAAAAATTCAATCTAAATTCGATAAAATCGAATCCAAATTCAATTCAAATTTGATAGGACTATAACCGACTAGAGAGAATGATGAGTGAGTTTAGGAGGCCAAGTACTTTTTTTTATAGTTAATCCATGTGGCGCTATATGATTGGATTAGTGGGACAAAAAATATTGATGAAACTTTAACGGAATGATTAAATTGATGTGCGGTATTAAAAGTCAGGGACTAAATTTATCAATTTTTGAAACTCAAGGACCAAAATGAGGAGTTAGATCAATTCAGGAATCATTTGCGATAAAAACTCTTATTTTGTGCAATCCACGTGTCACAATTCCATTGGATTTGTGGGTCCCACATACAAACTAATAGAATAGTTGATGGAAAGACCAAATTGATATGGTGTAGTGACTGTCAGAGACAACATTGGTTAATGAAAGTAAGAGACCAAAATGATGAGTTTGATCAATCTTGGGAACCATTTAAGATAAAAACTCAAAAAAAAAAAAAAAATTGTTGAAAGGTGTTGTAACACTAGCAAGTGACCATTTACTACCATGGCAGAAAGGTGTTCAAACTCCGTTCATAACTAATCCAACATTTTCGCTCGACTCCAAAAAAATAAAAAATAAAAAATTGAATTCGACGGAAGCTCACGAGTCGGTCAAATTTGAAAGTCGGCATGCAGACAAGCTGCTCGGCCATCTATTGACATTTCTCAACTGCCTGGATGCAAGTCCTCTTCCATCTCTCCCTCTCACACACTTTCTCTCGCTTACTCTCTCTCACTCTCTCTCTCTCTCTCTCTCTCTCTCTAGATATTTATTTAGAATTTGGAAAGCTGCGTTTGTGGTAGGGCGTGGGAAGAACAAGAGAGGAGGTGATTGGACTTAACTGGATAGATAATTTAGCTGAAAGGAGGGAGAGAGAGAGAGAGAGAGAGAGAGAGAGAATGGAATCATCGAGCGGGAATGGGAAAGGCATGGCAGAGGCATATGAGGAAGTGGAAGGAGAAGCAAACTTTGAGAGCGATGAGATAGAGAGAAACAAAGTGGGAATCATGAGAGCACTTGTGGAAAGAGAAGATCCCTCCTCCAAGGTTGGGATTTGGATTTGGAATTGGATCGCTCCTTCCACTCTCTCTTCCTTGCCTTTTTTTGCTTTTTTCTCCTTTCTTTTTTGTTTATAATTCTTTTAGTGAAACTTTTTTTTCATGATTTTTATTTTTAATTTTTTATGAGATATTTTAATATACTCTAATTACGAGGACGAAGATTAAAATTTGGCTGTAAGAGTAGGCATATTAGTCTGACTAACTGACCGAACTCATGTCAAGCTATTTGTAATGATTCTAAATTTGGTCATTCACTAATTCTAACAAGTACCTCTAGTGTTGGTTACTCAATGAAAGTTCAACTTTTACTTTATGCGAGTCCCTTCTCAAATTAGTGTTTAATTTGAAGCTTTTGGTTTCTGTGTATTTAGATCGCCCACATTGTTCATATTCTTCTCACATTTGCATAATGCTTGTGTGCTGGCATGCAGGATGTGGATGATTTCATGATCCGGAGATTTCTTCGGGCGCGTGATCTGGATATTGAGAAGGCTACTAACATGTTCCTCAAGTATCTGAGTTGGAAGAAGTCATTTGTGCCGAATGGCTCCATCTCGGAGTCAGAGATTCCAAGCCAACTTGCTCAGAACAAGCTGTTCATGCAAGGCGTGGACAAGACTGGACGCCCCATTATCGTTGTGTATGGTGGGCGGCATAAGCAGACCACACCTGAAGAGCTCAAACGTACGTACTACTTTTTTGGGGACTCTGATAAGTTATGAGACCTGCATATGTTTTGGATTTGATATGAGATTCTGAGGTATGGATTCAGTTCAAGTTTTCGACATTTCCTTTTGCAGGTTTTGTAGTATACACTCTTGATAAAATATGTTCCAGGTAACTCACACTATGTTATGACAAGGGATTTTTGGTGGTTCAATCATTTTAGTATGATGGTTTTGATGGATTATCGATATCTTTGAATGAGCGCAGAACGATTGTATTGTGAAGTTAACGTCGTAAGAGTTGAGATGTGAACTGCAAATCTGCAATGTCATAGACTCATACGTAATATGTTATATTTATCTTTTCAGAATGCCAGCAGGAAAGGAAAAGTTTGTATCCATTGCAGATCTTGAAGGATGGGGCTATACCAATAGCGATGTTCGTGGATACATAGCAGCGCTGACGATCTTACAGGTTCAAATTCCTCGATCCGTTGCATCAAACGAGATTTTAAATAGTTTTTGTTTATCAATTAGGTGAACGAATGCAATCAGAGCATGCGTGTCCGTTCTGTTCAGTTGTGTGATTTAGCCTTTGCGTCTGCACTTTGTTGTCTTGGGCAGGACTGCTACCCGGAGAGGCTTGGCAAGTTATTTCTTGTCCATGTGCCCTATGTATTCATGACTGCTTGGAAGATGGTTTACCCATTTATTGACAACAAAACCAAAAAGAAGGTAAACTACTTTGCAGCCCCTGCCATCATCTTTCTTTAACTTGCGGTCAATGGGGGAGTCGGGATACGAAATGAAGACCTCTTCCAACGTTGGGAAGAGAAGTACCACTAGACTAAGATGATGCTAACATTGTTAATGTAGTTAAAACATGGTAAACATTGCAGATCCTTTTTGTTTGTTCAACATTAGTTTATAACCAAATCATGGTAAACATTGCAGATCCTTTTTGTTGAAAACAAAAAACTGAACTCAACCCTGCTGAAAGATATCGACGAGAGCCAGCTCCCAGATGCATATGGAGGCAGACTGCCATTAGTTCCCATCCAGAACTGCTAGCTTCCTTTCTTTAACTAGAGGACCGGCTGAGTGATATTTTGATTACTCAAAAGCAGCTCTTCGAAACATATGGACGTAAACTCGTATTAGTTCCTATCTGAACCGAAGCGAAGACTCTGCAAAATTGTTCATGAGAAGTTGCCGTTGCCCTTTTATTTTATACTACTTGTAAGCCAAAATTAGAGATTACAATAACTATCAAAGTCGGCATTCATTCCCATTTATTTATCGGCCAATTGCGTTGTGAGTTTGATGAGTTACTTTTGCATGTGTCTGACTAACTTACAACGATGGTAAGTATGGATCTGTCTACGATACAATTTCATTGTGCAATCCTAGTCAACCATCAGAAAGCAAGCGTGCTCAAGCTTCAATTATTCGATTGAATCAACCCAAGTACCATGAAAACTACACATGGTGAACAAAATTTAACTGTATTATTCAGACATCGGAACTCCATCAAGAACCGGCAGTGATACAAAATCCAAATGTGTAAATCATGACTAAAAGAACGTATTAAGTTTTCAAACATCAATTTCCCTGATGTAGAGGAAGCTATGAATTATGAAACCTCATGCAAAATGATGCACCAGAAAGGAATAAAAAAAAAAAGACTGCCAGGGCAATTCTCATCCGATGAGTAGCTTGTTCTCGGCCAAAAAACTGTAAGTGGGTACCTCTAGATTGAATGGTGCTGGCCCCTTGCGGATCCTGCCAGAAATGTCGTAGTGCGAACCATGGCATGGGCAGAACCAACCACCAAAATCACCAGCATTCGGCAAGGGGATGCACCCTAAGTGAGTGCAGACTCCGACAACAATAAGCCATTCTGGATTTGTAACCCTCTCTGCATCCTGTGGGGATCACGAAGGGACTGAACATCTACACTGTTAGCCAACTTGATGTCATCTTCAGTTCTACGCCTAATGAAAACAGGCTTCCCTCTCCACTTCACAGTAACAGTAGTACCAGGCTCAATGCTGGACAGGTCAACCTCAAGGGAAGCAAGGGCAAGAACATCTTTACTGGCAGACATGCTCAGTACAAACTTGAGGATGAGAAGCCGGATCAAGGAGGCATACACGAATCTGCCTCCTGTCAAGATGAAATAAGCAAATGCACGCTTGCTGGGGTCACCGGGTGGATACCTTTCATGGTTGTACTCATCGTACACAATTTTTGAAGAAGGATTCTTCACAGCTGCCACAGTAGCTGGGACGTCTGAGAAAATACCAATATCATTTCCGGGAGCGAGGGCTTCAGAGGAAAATCCTGAAATGAAGAACCAACCATTCAGCAAACAAGTTCCATACACTATTGAATCTCATTCAGAAACATCACATTTCCCAATCTACACCTAAGGATAAATGCGCATCAGCATACAGCAAGGCACTTTCCAATCAAATTACTGACTAAAGGCATTTAGCAAAAAACTACTATAGCTAGATTATAACAAAACAAAACGACCTTCCAGCCCCAGCCAGAGAGAGTGAGTACAAAGAATACGTAATATCTGTATAGTACAGAGATTGAATGCAAGTTAATGACTCTGAAAAGAAGACACATGGTTCATCATTCAACCCCTGGTTACAGCAGCAATCCCAAATATCGACCTACCTATCCACATATCCAGACACTAACAATTCAATGCAGTCTAGACAAGCTCAAGTCTCGACATAATGGTATCAACTGAACTTGTGCACACCATAATCCGTAAAGAAATGGCATTCACTAAAACTAAAAGTTTCCAACAGGTTATTTTCCAGAACCATAACTGGGTATCAGACAACGCATATAAGCAAGCAAAGGGAACGCAGACTCCTTTCAATCTCTCAATAAAGAAAGCGCAGCATTACAAAGAAGAGATTCAAACAACAATTAATGCATATTCTGTTAAATGAAACACACCAATGTATTCAGCAATACAATCCCCAATCAAGTTTTGAAATGCACCAAAATCAAATTGCAAAACATCAATTCAGAGCGAGCACAAATGCTATGGGCTAACCAATGGATAAAAATCCCACGTACCCAATTAGAAATGTTACCCAATTCGATTTAATCAAAGATCGTACTTTGAAAACAAATGGATCGAAAACCAAAATTAGAACAGATTATTAGATTGAAAATGAAATGAATTAATATATCAAATAATTAGAAAAATGAAAATAACCTAACATTTATGAACCAATTTCGATTTCCAAATCTACAAAATTAGAGCCGTGATTGTACAGAACAAACATTAACACAACCGATTGAACAGAATCAAACCCTAAATGCATCTGAAGAGGAAGAAGGCGGGGCTCCGACCTCTGACGAGAGATGGAATTTTGGAATTGAGGAAAAAGGGAGCGGGGGATCTGGAAGCGAAATCGGAGGAAGAGTCGTCGTCACTGTTGTTGGTAATGAAAAGCAGATGAGATCCTCGGGAGACGAAGGCGGGGGCGGTCTGCGACGACGACCGCCACGCCGCAGCAGAAGATGACAGCCTTCTTCCCGCGACTCTCAGCATTTTCCTCTTCTTCTGTAATCGCTAGGTAGCAATGGCTTCAGCTTCTCCAGTCTCGAAGCCACCAACAAATCAAATGCTCTTTTCCTTCTTTTTGGGTTTTGCCAAGAAAAGGCCTTATTTGACCCTAAACCAAAGTCCAAGTCGAGCATTATGTGGGCCAAAACGTCGTCGTCCCTTAAACGACGGCGTAATAAAACATTATTATTATATAAAGAGCTTGTTTGGATGTGTTTTAAAATGACCAAAAGCATTTTTGATGAAAATATTTTTAGAACTAATCTTTAGTAAATATGCAAGTAAATCCTGAAAATGCACTTTAAATGCTTTTTGCAAGAAGCATCAGTTATGTGCTTCTTAAAAAAAAACACTTTTAAGTGGCTTTGAAACCCAAAAATATTTTCAATCATTTTAAAAACACATCCAAACGAACCCAAAGACAATTTGTTTAGAAAGTGATTTTTCCCGTGCACTTTTATTTTCCTTTCCTTGGGAATTTTACACTTTAATTTTTTTTATAATTAGAAAAATATATATATAAAAAATGTAAAATAAAATTTTTGAAATGCTAATAATAATTTTATTTTTGTTTATGTTTCTTTCGTACTGAGGAAAATAAAAAAAAATCAAAAAACAAAAATACCAGTCAATATTTTTATAAAATTACAAGAACACGCGTGCAAAAATTATTTCTCATTGCTTAGGTTTTTGGCGTTTTCACGAAATTATTCACTGATGGCTCTCGATTCTTCAATCCGACACGAGTTGCCCTAATGTAGATCTAAGTTGTAAGATCTATCAGTTGATCGGGAAAATACAGAAATGTAAAACTTGTAGCATGTCAAATTCAGGTTTCATGAAACAGAAACAGAAAGCTGCCACACACTTTAAGAAGCATCTCTTGGTTGTGCTTCAACAACCTCGTCGGCTTTGTATAGTAATAACATTTCCAACTCCACAAATCCTACTGTATGTTTAGATCCTCGTAGCGTTAAATCCACCCGAAACCTACTCATCTGCAGATGCAGAAGAATGATGGGGGAATGTCTCCCACACATCAGCCCAACTCCTCACTCCCTCGGCTACATCTTTCACGACAGATGCCGCCTCTTTCACATCAACACGGATTTGATCCTTGCTGTCCCTCTCTCTGAGCGTCACCGATGATGTTGAATCCACCGTGATTGCAAAAGGTACACCCAGCTCATCAGTTCGAGCATATCTTTTTCCAATCGAGGTACCTTATCAAATAAAAATTCAAAACAGTTAAAAACTCGAAACTGATTGCTAATCTACTTTTAACAATAACAGGTTAGGCTTCAACTACAACGAGGAATGAAGATACAAATCTTGGGTGCTCCTCTTGCCTTTCTCCCATACGATAATGCAACTCTGGCATATAGGGCGTACGAGTTTTCAAAAATACGCATATATGAACATGTCTGTGCAGAATAAGTGACTTGCTACTTAACCCTACTACCAGTCTACCATAAACCGACTATCTAACTATTATGTCCGGGAACATCCCATTGAGAAAGTATGGATGGATAAACATGTGCTACAACTTATATTCAATATTTTACTTAGCAATTCAATACAGCAACCCTAAAAAAGATCGTACCCAGTGCACAAGGCTCCCGCTTTACACAAGGTCTGGGAGAGGTGAATGTCGGCTAACCTTACCCCCATTTATGGAGAGGCTGCTCCCAAGTCTCGAACCCGAGACCTACCACTCATGGGCGAAGGCACTTGCCATCGCACCAAGTGCGACCTCTAATGTATTGACAGCAACCCTACATGCCAAAAAAAAAATACAAACAGAGATGATTGTCGTAGTTCCATACCTGTAATGTCAATTTTATGCGAGATTCCAGCAGCGGTCAATGACTTGGAAATTTCTTTAGCAACATCCTCATACTGATGGTTCTGAACCAGAGGAAAAACTGTGCACTTAATGGGTGCCACAAGTGGGGGGAAACCAAAAACATTCAACTGTTGATCAGCAGCTTTACTAGGCCTCGTGTAGTATGTGTGCTCAAAGAGGCAATATATAATTCGGCCAATACCAAAAGATGGTTCAATTACAGAAGGCGTGAATACTCTCTGGTGTTCTTTCTTTTTCTCCTTTGAAATTTTTACCATACTCTTCTTAATGGTTACATTCTTCCCCAGCGTGCAGACGTAAAACTCCACCTCCTCTTTAGACTCTAAATCAGCCTTCAATGCCATAGCTTCTTGTTCTTTCATGGCCTGAAATGAGTAACTTAATACATTAACACAAAATCTATATTTAACAGAATTACGAGATGAAGAATCAGAAGAGAGTATTCTGTATTCACCTCCAAAGCTTCAATTACATTCTTTTGGTTCCCTTTGAATGCAAGGCCGATCTTTCTTTACTGGAGCTATAACCAATACCTGAAATTACATAACAAGTAAAAAATGATACTGTTTTTCTTACAGGTGAAATCAGGAAATCAAGTCTACCAATAACAACAATGGTGTACATGATCTGCATAAAACATTACCTCTACTTCTCTTGGTTCTGGATATTTTTCATGAGCCACAAGAGCTTCACCACTTTTCTCCTGTCATAAAAGAAAAAGAAAAGGAAAAACAATACTCCATGAACACATAGCTTTCCATATCTAAGTAGTGTAAAGCCTTAGCATCACATTATGTTGTAAGGCTTCTCTCATGTCGGCATAACAGTTTCATAGATAAAACCCAAAGTTTTA